GAAAGGTCACCCAAACCACGTTTTAGATATCCATTTCTGCTCAACAAAACACCCCAAAACAATAGCCATTTATTATCTCAGGAGTCTGTGTGTCGATTGGGCTCAGCTGGATGTTTTTTTTTCTGTTGCATGTGGTGTCCATCACCTGGGGCTGCAGTCATCTGGAGGTTCCACTTGACTGGGACATCTGAGACATCCCTCTCACATGGATCATGACTGGCACTGGTGTCTGCTGGGAGCTCAGCTCGGCTGTTGACCAGAGCACCTTGGTTCAACANCCCTCCCACAACCAGGTACACCACACCAGCACCTTGGGCCCCGCCCAGGGACCCAGGGCATGGAGAAGGTGACTGGACCATCCTCCCACAACCAGACACACTGAGCCAGTGCCTTGGGGCCCACCCACGGACCCAGGGTATGGAGTTGGGGACCGGACCACCCTCCCACAGCCAGGCACAGCATGCCAGCACCTCGGAGCCCACCCAGGGACCTGGGGCATGGTGATGGGGACCGGACCTCCCTCCCACAACCAGGCACAACATGCCAGCACCTTGGGGTCTGCCTGGGGACCCGAGGCAAGGAAAAGGGCAATGGACCCCTCTGCCACAACCAAGCAGACTGCACCTGTACCTCAGGGCCCACCCAGGGACCCAGAACATGGAGAATGGGACTGGACCCCTCCCACAACCAGGCACATGGCACCAGTGCCTTGGGCTCTGCCAAGGGACCAGAGGCATGGAGAAGGGGACCAGCCACACCCCACAACCAGGCATACCACCAGTGCCAAGGAGCATGCCAAAAACAGCACCCCCACATGGGTGGCCCACCACAGCCACCACAATAACCATAGTTGCTGCAAAAGCGGCTAGACGCCATGGCCACCACACAGATGGTCCGCCAGCCACTGGAATGCATTCTAACAAGAAGAGTCATCAGCAGAGACAAAGAAAAGAAGAGGCTGTCTCTTTCCACAAAACCCATTTCAGGGTGACAGAAGAAGCATCTGCTCTGTGATAATATTGGGGGACCTGATCACATCTCTCAGCATTGGAGAGATCATCTAGGCAACAAGTTAACAGAGTAACCATTATTCTTTCAGAAGGAGAGAAAAAATCTAGGGCAGTTGGGGCGGGAGGGGGGGAATGGGGGAAGGGGAAAGGTTGGACAAGGGGCATAAAGAATAATTACAATTTCTAACAATATATATGCTAGTAATACTGATTTAATCAACATATCTCAATGTTCAACCCCAAAAATATGTATAATTGATTTTGATTCAATAAATAAATTTTTTAAAAAAAGAATAATGGGTGTTCTTTGAAAGAGACTAAAGGACACCTAAGTAAGCGGAAAGACAGTCATGTCCATGGATCCTACAGCTTCCTGCTGTTAACGTGGTATCCTGCCTGAGTAGATCTACAGATTCAATATGACTCCTATCAAAACACCCAAATGGGTTTTTCCTCTCAGAAATTGACAAACTGATCCTAAAACTTATATGGAATTGCACGGGACCCTGAATATTCAAAATATTCCTGAATAGGAAGACTAAAGTAGGAGGACTCACATTTCCTGATTTCAGAACTACTACAAGGCAACAGTAATCAAGCCAGTGTGATCCTGCATAAGGACAGACAGACTGACCAATGGAATAGAGTTGAGAGTCCAGAAAAAAACCTTCACATTTATGGTCAATTGATTTTTGACAAGGGTTCCAGGGGAATTCAGTGGAAGGAAAATAGCCTTTTCCAAGTGGGTATCCGCATGCAACAGAATGAAGTTGGATCTCTACCTCGTACCATATACAGAAGTTAACTCAAAATGATCATGGACATAAATGAAAGGGTGAAACTGTAGAATGTTAGAAGAAAACATTGGAGTAAACCTTCATGCCCTTGGATTAGGCAATGGTTTCATAGATATGACACCAAAAGCACAAGCAACAAGAGAAAAGAATAGACAAATGGGACATCATCAAAATAAAAAAACTAAGGACAACATCAAGGAAGCGAAAAGGAACCACAGAATAGGAGGAAATATTTGCAAATCACATATTTGATAACAGGGTTGTAGTAGAATATATAAAGACTCAATAATGTGAAGACAGATAACCCAATTGTAAGGTAGACAAAGGATGTGAATAGACATTTCTCCAAAGAAGACATACAGATGTGCAACAAGCACATGAAAAGATGCTCAGCATCATTAGCCATCAGGGAAATGCAAATCAAAACCACAGTGGTTAGAGCGTGGTGTTATAACACCAAGGTCAAGGGTTTGGATCCTGAGCCAGCCAGCCACCAAAACAAACAAACATACTGCAGTGAAGCAGCACTTCACACCCCTTAGGATGGTTGAATAAAAAACAGACAGTAACAAATGTTGACAAGGACATGGAGAAATCAGAGCTGCATGCACTGGTGACGGGAATGTAAAATGGTGCAGCTGCTGTGGAGAAGTCTGGTGGTGCCTCAAGCAGTTAAACATGGAGTTAACAGGTAACACACATAACATATAACATAACCCAGATGTTCCATTCCTAGGCACATACCCAAGAGAAATAAAACGTGTTCAAACGAACAAAAAAAAAAAATTACATTCTTTCCCAGCAAAATATTTCACTATTTTTATTTACTCTTTGCTTTATTCATTCTTTGATCTGTGATAATAAGGAACGCCTGTATATAAGTTTTTCTTAATTCTCTAAACTGTTTTATATATTTATAATAAATAGTAACCAGATAACCACATTTTCCTATTGAGTGAGCATATGCCTAGAAAAGCTAATTTTATCCGAAAGTAAGTACATGCTTAAGAAAAACCTATAAGCAGAAATTATAATAGTTTTTTTCCTTATTTATTAGGTCTGTTAGTCCAATATAATAGGTACGACTTCTCTTTCTTCTGCAGTTCCTAAGGCCAAAGTTCTCACATTTTTCTCACTCCAATTTATGGATGACTGGTGACCATTAGTCTAGTGTATCTTTGCTTATCTGCTAACATGAGTTTTTAATTATGTGCTGTTTTTTGCTTTTAATTATCGTAGTTGTCATGAGTAAATCAGCCTCTGGGGCACTTGTGCTATATTTGCCTTTCTGTGATATCCTTGTACATTTTACTGTACACTTGAATCACCTGGGGATTTCGTTAAAATGCACACTCTGATTTAACAGGCATGAAGATAGCAGGGCCAAAATTCTGCATTTGGAACCGGCTTCCACAACTTTGCCAGTGCTGCTGACCTTCAGACCACACTTGAAATAGCAAGGCTTTAATAACGATTTTGGAAACAGAAGCCAGGCAAAGCCTATTGAAGCCATTTCTTGTTATGATAACTTTATGATATATGCCTAGTTTCTTAGTAATGTATATTTTTCCAATGGGGATATATGTATATTGAATTATGATTTGTAATATATGAGCTTTTCTATAATTTTTGTGTTGGGCATGTTATCTACAGTGGTAGTATTTATAAAGAATGGTGATATACCGATGATGATGTAATAGTTAACATTTATGGACTACTTAGTATGTCCCAGACACTGCTTCACAAAGGGTGACTAAATTTTCACAACAAAACTATGAAGTAGACATTATTATTGTTATCCCTATTTACAAAGTCACAAGTGTAGTGACTTGCCCTTGGTAACACAGTTAGAAGATGACAGAGTTAGGACATTCAGTCAGGTAGACCTACTCTGTAATCTCTTTACTGCTTTGACACCAGTCCAGAAACTGCAGACTTCATATAATGTGAAAACATTTTTTTCTTTTTCCAAATGGTAATGGTAATCTAGTGACAAGTGTGGAGACATACCTTTCACTCTGAGTTCTCCTGCCAAACCACCAAATGATCTTTGAGAAGCCAGGAGCCTCTCTGTCCAGCTTCTCAGCCCATCAGATATCAGCAGGATATGCAGTGCTCGAGTCTCTCTATCTTTATGTGAAGGAGAGATGAACATAGGGAAGGAGAGTTACTATTTCTAAGTGCACAGGCATTTGTACAAGTGTGCAAAAATGAATGGAAGTTGTTCAGGATTAGAAAAATGTGTCACTTCAGTCGCAGTTTAATTTGGAAATCAACAAACCTGGAATGGGTCATGATAAATAAGAATATAGGTAGCTTATTACTCATCCCAAAGTAATAGGGGGCTATTTGCTCTCATTATTTCTCTCTTTTACAGTCCATCAATATTTTGGAACTGACTTTACAGAAATATGGAAGTTATGAAAAATTTGAACAAGCCACTGGTGGTAGCTTGCTGTCTAAAACTCGAATCTGGAGTCACGTGAGGAAGTACATGCTGAAGGAAGGCTGCCTCGGGGAGGTAGGAAGCACGAGTGGCCGCGAGGAGCTGGCTGTGGCATTTGAACTCTCAGTCAGTGCCGTGTGGTTTTGTCCTGCACGTTTCATTTTCTCAAACCTATTTAACTCATTAAATTAGAAATCCAGAGTTTTCATTAAGTACTGTAAGTCTAAGTTCCTGATGCATTGAATTGTTTTGATGTGTTTAGGTTTTTTGTTTTGTTTTTCTTACTGCCATTTCTGTATAGCTGTGGGTTTCTATGAATTACTTTATGAATATTGTTAATGAAGAGAATTGCCCAGTGGCCTCTCTCGTTAGTAGTCCGTTCTTAGTAGTCAGTCTTAGAACCCTGGCACCAGCAGGAACAGGACTCTGGCTCCTATACATTCGTTTGCATCATTTTAGCCAGGGATTCTTTTGAGAAACTCCAGAAGTACAGTTGTAAGTCCTCTGTATCTTCCTCCGCACAGCCATCTGCTTTCTCTTCAACCCAGTAAAGGTTCTTGAGTTCCCAAAGGGGCAGAATTAGAAGGTTCAAAGGTAAATGGCTGTACATTCCATCTTGTCAGTTTCTGGGAGATTCAAGGTAGTTGTAAACAAAAACATAGTGTTAATTGGGGCCGAGCCCGTGGCGCACTTGGGAGAGTGTGGTGCTGGGAGCGCAGTAGCGCTCCCGCCGTGGGTTCGGATCCTATATGGGGATGACTGGTGCACTCACAGCACTCACTGGCGGAGCACGGGGCGGCTGGTCTCAAAAAGGGCAAAAAAAAAAAAAAACATAGTGTTAATTGGGGCCGAGCCCGTGGCGCACTTGGGAGAGTGTGGTGCTGGGAGCGCAGTAGCGCTCCCGCCGTGGGTTCGGATCCTATATGGGGATGACTGGTGCACTCACAGCACTCACTGGCGGAGCACGGGGCGGCTGGTCTCAAAAAGGGCAAAAAAAAAAAAAAACATAGTGTTAATTGGGGCCGAGCCCGTGGCGCACTTGGGAGAGTGTGGTGCTGGGAGCGCAGTAGCGCTCCCGCCGTGGGTTCGGATCCTATATGGGGATGACTGGTGCACTCACAGCACTCACTGGCGGAGCACGGGGCGGCTGGTCTCAAAAAGGACAAAAGAAAAAAAAAAAATAGGGTTAATTTATGGACCCATTGTTTTCTGTGAAAACTTTTTTGTCCCTGTGCCTTTACATTTTGTTTTATATATACATATATAAAACACACATACATATATATATATATATATATGTATGTGTGTATGTATTTTTCCTCTTGCTCCTTAGATCGTAGTTCATTTAACTGAGGACCTGCTTTCCCGAGCTTCAATGACAGTAGTGAATGGATGTCCCACTCTGACCATCAATGTTGCCACTGCGCGGGAGCATTGGCTGGAGGGAATGCTGAGGCATGAAATAGGTAGGGGCAGCCCTTTTCCACTGGTTCATCTGCAATATCAGGAGTTAGCTCCAAAGAAATGTTATTTTTAGAATGGGTTTTTCTTAGTAGTATATTTGGCGAAAAGTCATGAGATTGTTAAGCTTCCCTTGGTCTAAAGCTAATATATTTACATCTCATTTCAAATTAATTTTTTTTTTTTTTAAAGATGACTGGTAAGGGGATCTTAGCCCTTGACTTGGTGTTATCAGCACCATGCTCACCCAGTGAGCTAACCGGCCATCCCTATATGAGATCCAAACCCATGGCCTTGGTGTTATCAGCACCACAGTCTCCCAAGTGAGCCATGGGCCAGCCCTTAAATTAGATTTTTTTTAGGGCACTGTTTAGCTGTGTTAAGCTTGGAAAGTCATTTAACTCCTCTAGATTTCAGTTACTCCTCCTTAAACTGAAGAGGTTGAATTAAGTGATCTCTAAGATTCTTTTCAAATATCAAGTCTATGATTCATCTCTTTAAAAAAAATAGTTTTGAAGGTTTTATCTCCTTTAATGAGACATGTGCTCCTTCTGAAGGCAGCATACTCCTTCAAATCCAGAACGTTTTAGGGTCAGGTATTTTTCTAGTTCATTTTGATCTGTAGGCTCATACTAATTTGGTTTTAGAATTATTGGTGGAATTTTCTTTTGCAGAAGAATTAAAACAAGAATGGCATTTCTTTTTATTTATATGCCTTTTTTTCCTCCATAGGCACACATTATTTTCGAGGTATTAACAACCTCCAGCAGCCATGGAACAGTTGGACTGGCCGTAAGAAACATGAGCTAAAGCCAAACAATCCCACAGAGGAAGGACTGGCAAGTATTCACAGTGTCCTGTTTAGAAAAGACCCCTTTTTATGGAGGGCTGCCCTCCTCTACTACACTGTTTATCGAGCCAGCCAATTGTCTTTTTGCGAACTCTTCAGAGATATTGGCAGGTTTGTCAAGGACCCCAATACAAGATGGGATTATTGTGTACGAGCCAAGAGGGGATGGACTGATACTTCCCAACCAGGTAGGTCTCTTGACTGTAAGCTTTCTGACTTATTGACTAGTTGTCTAGTGATTTTGGTTGTATCCTAATCTCTGAATTTACTCACCTATGAAAAATTAAACCTTTGTTACTTGAGGTCAGTGCTAGTTTTCCCAAACCACATTTTCTTAGAATTATTTTTGCCCAGCTCATTTTGAAAAATTTCAGACCAACAAAATATGGAAAGAATGGTAGAATGAACACCCGTATACTCTTCATTTAGATTTACCAATTATTAACATTTTGCCATTTTTGCTTTCTTTCTCTCTTTTAAAAAACAGCTTTATTGAGATATAATTCACATACATATAATTCATCCATTTAAAATGTCTAGTTCAGTGGTTTTTAGAATATTCACAGAGTTGTGCAACCATCACCACTGTGTAATTCCAGAATGTTTCCTCACCTCAAAAAGAAACTCGTACCCATTAGCAGTCATTCTCCACCCCTCCTCCCCAGCTCTAAGCAACCACTTTTAGTGGTTTTTACTTTTAGTCTCTGTAGATTTACCTTTTTTGGACATGTCATATGAATGGAATCATATAGTATGTGATCCCTTGTGGCTGGCTTCTTTTAATTAGCATGATGTTTTCAAGATTCATCCGTGTTGTAGGATGTATCAGTATTTCAGTCCTTTTTATTGTTGAATTAGTATTCCATTATATGCATATATCACATTTTATTTATCCATTTGCCAGTTGATGGGCATTCGGGTTGTTTCCTCATTTTGGCTGTCATGAATAAAGCTGCTGTGAGCATTTCTGTACAGGTCTTTGTGTGGATGTTTTCATTTCTCTTGGATGTACACCTAGCAGTGTAATTGTAGTCATATGGTAACTATATTTAACCTTTTGAGGAACTGCCAAAATGTTTTTCAAAGCGACTACATTTTTACATTCCTACCAGTGTGTGAGTGTTCCTATTTGTCTACATCCTCACTATTTTCATTTTTTAAATTATTATTATTATTATTGTTATAACCATCCCAGTGGTGCAAAGTGGCATCTCATTGTGGTTTTGATTTGCAGTTCCCTGATGGCTAATGATGTTAAGCATCTTTTCATGTGCTTATTGGCCATTATACAAATGTCTTATTTGGAGAATTGTCTGTTTTGATCCTTTGACCATTTTAAAATTTATTTTTCTTCTTATTGAGTTGTCAGAGTTCTTTATATATTCTAGATACAAGTCTCCCATCAGTTATATGATTTATAAATATTTTCTACCATCCTGTATGTTGTCTTCATTTTTGTAATGATGTTCTCTGACTTTTTAAAAGTAAATTTTAGACTTGACATTTCATTCCTAAAAACTTGAGCATGCATCTCTAAGAATTAGGACATTCTTCTATCTTATACAATATCATTACTACATTTAAGAAAGTGAACATTAATTCAGCAATATTAATAAATATGAGACTTCCCGTCAAGATGGCAGAATAGACAGTCCCCAGTGTCACTCTTTCCCACAAATCAACGAATTTACAACTATAAAAATGTAACATCAGGGCCGACCTGTGGCTCACTCGGGAGAGTGCAGTGCTGATAGCACCAGGGCCGCAGGTTCGGATCCCATATAGGGATGGCTGGTTCGCTCACTGGCTGAGCGTGGTGCTGACAACACCAAGTCAAGGGTTAAGATCCCCTTACCGGTCATCTTTAAAAAAAAAAAAAAAAAAATGTAACATCAGTCAGGCTGGGGCCGTTGGAGCTCAGGTGAAGAGGAGGAGAGACCAATGGAACTCACGAAGGTGGGAGAAACCATGAAGAGAGAAAGAAAAACCTGCTCTCAGCATTTTGGGCTGCGGCCACTTTAATGCTGGAGCGCGTGAAGCAGGAGCCGGCAGAAGCCGCAGCCATGCCCTTTATCAGCACCGCACTCTCCCAAGTGAGCCACGGGCCGGCCCAGCCATGCCCTTTAGATCGAATTACTTGGAAGTGGAAGGGGAGAAGAGGACTTTGATGGCCCCCAGGAAAGCAAGACCACTAACAGGGTTCCAATGGACCCACGCAGGAACAAGGAGCCAGAACAGCTGAAAAAGGGGAGCCACTCAGAGGCCGGTGCATCATCACAAGGGACCAGCGCAGGGCCTGTCCTATGGGAAGTGTTTGGAGCATGGGCGGTGAGGGAGATGGGCCCACCGGGGGAACACTGGGAACACAGCAAGGACAGGCAATCCGCCCCCCAATCAGGTCAGGAATGCAGAATTGCATGGGATACAGTTTGATGAAAAAACTCAGACCCAGATCAGAGTTTCTACACAACCCAGGTACACCAGATCTCTGGAGAGCTGGAAGTACCTATAAGGTCAACTATTAAACCCTGAGCTGCACAAAAAGCCTTTCCTAGGGAAACAGCAGCAAAACCAATTTAGTTCAACCACAGAGCTCAAGTACTGTTTCCCACAGGAAGTTCCCCTACTTTAGAAGCAAGCAAAGGACAAAAACTTAGTTCTGGCCCAGGCACACCATGAATGCCTTGGGGCCCACCAGGGCAATTTACCTCAACCACACAGCTCAAGTACTGGTTCCCACAGGAAGTTTCCCTGTTTTAGAACTAAGCAAAGGACAAAGACTTAGTTCTGGCCCAGGCACACCATGTATGCCTTGGGGCTCACCAGGGGACATGAGGCATGCAGCCAGGGGTAGGACCCCTGCCTACAGCCACTCACACCACCAGCACCTTGGGGCCCCACCCAGGAACCCAAGGACTGGACCCCACTCCCACATACAGGCATACCACCAGTGCCTAGGGGCCCACCTGGGGACCTGGGGCTAGCAGCCAGAGACTGGACCTTCTTCCCACAACTAGGCACACCACTCCAGCACCTCAGGGCTCACCAGGGATCCGAGGCATGGAGAATGGGACCGGACCCCCCTCCCACAACCAGGCACACCATGTCAGTGCCTCAGGGCCCACCCAGGGACCCAGGGCATGGAGAAGGGGACCGAACCCCTCTCCCACAGCCAGCCTCACCACACCAGCGCATTGGGGCCTGCCCAGGGACCCAGGATAAGGAGTTGGGACTGGACCCACCCTCCCACAATGAGGCATGCTGGGACAGCACATCAGGGCCTGCCCAGGGGCCCGAGGCATAGAGAAGGGAACCAAACCTCCCTCCCACAACCAGCCACCCCATGCGAGTGCCTCGGGGCCTTCCCGGGCCGATAAGGAGTTGGGACTGGACTCACCCTCCCACAATGAGGCATGCTGGGACAGCGCAGCAGGGCCCATATGAAACCAGGGATCGGACACTCTCCACAACCAGGCACACTGCCAGCACCACGGAGCAGGCCAAAATCATCTCCTCCATGTGGGTGGCCCACCACAGCCACCACGATAACCATGGCTGCCGTGAAGGTGGCTAGACACCACAACCACCACGCAGATGGTCACCAACCACTGGAGTGAGTTGACATAAGGAGAGTCACCAGCAGAGATAAAGGAGGAGGATGTCTGTCTCCACAGAGACCATTTCATAGTGACAGAAGAGACATCTGCTCTATGATAGTATTGGGGGACCTGCTCATGCCTCTCAGCATTGGACAGATCATTTGGGCAGCAAATCAACAGAGTAACCATTATTCTTTCAGAAGGAGACAAGAAATCTAGCGTAATTACAGGGGGGAGGGGGAGAAAAAGGGGGATGGGGCAGGATTGGATAAGCGGCATAAAGAATAATTACAATTTGTAACAATATATATGCTAGTAATATTGATTTGATCAACATATCTCAATGTTGAATCCCAAAAATATGTATAATCAATTTTGATTCAATAAAAATTAAAATAAATAAATAAATAAAAAATAAATAAATGTGAGGGTACTTCAAAAAGTTTGTGGAAAACTGGGATTAAAAGATAATATGATTCCACAAACTTTTTGAAGTACCCTCGTATACACACCATATTTAAATTTCTCCAACTGTTCCAAAAAATGTTCTTTATAGCTGTTTTTTTTTTAAATATCCAGTTCCAATTAGGGTTCACAAATTACTTTTGATGGTTATGTCTTTTTAGCTTTTTTTAAATATGGAGCAATTGTACCCAGCTTTTCTGTTTGTTATGATAGTGTCTTTTTTTTTTTTTTTTGAAGTCCAGGCCAGTGTTCTTATAGAATGGCTCACAATCTGTATGTGTTTGATTGTTTGCTCAGGATTAGATTCAGGGAAAATGTCTTTGGCAAGAATACTACATAAGTATGTTGGGTCACATCAAGAGCCACCTAATGATAGATTGTCTCACCATTAGAAATGCCAAGTATGATCCTCATTTAAGGTGATGATTATGAACTCTTTCCTTTCTAAAGGTACATCTTCCTTTTCCTCTTTGTAAATAATAAGTGATCTGTGAGGTGACAAAGACTGTGAATATCCTGCTCCCAAACAGAGTTTTATCTAATGGTTTTAGCGTCCATCAGTGATCTTTCCTGAATCTGTTGTTTCATTGGGAATGTCTAGCACTCTTTGATTTATTATTTGTCTAAAGAAAATAGAGGGAAAGAGTGCAATCACAGTGTGTGTTTATGTTCACAAGCAGTTCTAGTTCTCAGTAAGTATGCTGCTCTAATAGAAAGTTAAAAAATTTTGTCAGTAGCCTTAAGACTTCAGATTGCCCACAAAATATTTAGGGTTTTTTTGTTTTTAATAAGATAAGAAGCAAAGTATATGGCAATACAAAAATGCCTTTGAAAAAGGGATAAGAATTTGGAAACATTGGTTTAAAAGTTATTTAGACTTTCAGAGTAGTTTAATATATCAACAAATGTTCTTCTAAAAGTATTTTTAAGCTATTTATTTGGAGCTTGGAAATACTCAAGTCAGTGGCAGTTGTTGCCAGCCCAGCCCACATTAACGTTTTGTAGCAATGATGTAGTTGTATGACTGTGGTGCCTGAGAGCCAGGACCAGGCAAGAGAGGAAACAGGAAAGAGGAGGACACCTGCCTGTAACTACCTCCAGGCTGAGTATTCGATAAACAGCGTGTCTGCCATTTCCAGTCTAGATTCCCTTGCCGGTATTTTAGTGCTCTGTACCAAGATGCACGGGGCTTTCATGTTGCCCTTGACACCGCATGGAGGCACATCACTTTTAGAGTGGTTGGTTCCCCCCCCCTTTTTGTTTTTGGGTTTTTTAAACTTTTTTTTGTTTTGTTTGGCAGCTGGCTGGTACAGGGATCAAAAACTTGGTGTTATCAGCACCATCTCTAACTAACAGCTAACCGGCCAACCCTTTTTTTAAAACTTTTTACTATGGGAAATCTCAAATATATACAAAAGGAGAATGATTGATATGCTGAACCCTCATTAATACATTATCTGATCTTAGTAATTATCAACATTTTCTTTTTTTTTATTTTGACGGCTGGCCAGTATGGGGACCCGAACCCTTGACCTTGGTGTTACAACACTGTGACCAACTGAGCTAACCAGCCAGCCATAATTATCAACATTTTCTAATGTGGTTCATCTGTTCTTCCAAGTTCCTGTTTTTCTACGGTATTTCAAAGCCAATTCCAACATCATGTCTTTTACCTATAAATATTTCAGTATGCATCTCAACTGATTAGGACAACTTTTTTTTGTAATCCCCATGCTATTAGCATGCCTAACACAATTAACAATAATTCCTTAATGTATCAAGATGGAAAAAAAGGTTTTCTTTGTAAATAGAACATCCTTTCCTAACAAGGCTCAGATCTCGTGAGTTGTTCCTACTTTTCATGTCGTCGTCTTGCATGGTTTTTTTTTTTTTTTTT